GCTCCACGTACATCAACGTTGTCGCAGACAATCACGAGCGACTCGGCGACACCGAATCATTCGGCGAAAGGGTCTGTGCAAGACTAATCAGCCGACCGACGCGCACCTGTGTTTGGTGTCGCGGCTCTGGAGTTACCGAGGCACATGGCTTCCCCACACGAATGACATGCCCCCAGCCGGCGCGAACGGCCGCAACGTCGCGCGTCCGAGTGTCAGATATATTCTCATCTCGAGTTTTAGGCGTAGCTCTCACCCGTACATTCACCTCTAGATACCCGTTTTCCCATAGACTACAGTCAAGATGCCTTTCAACACTGAGCTCACCAGGGCCCTCGGCATTAGAGGTAACTCCACTGGCGCAACATGGAGAGCGAGTAGCTGACACTTGCACAGTGCCCGTTGTTCAGGGTGGTATGCAATGGGTCGGATACGCTGAGCTTGCTTCCGCTGTCAGTAACGCTGGAGGACTGGGCATAGTACGTCTGGCACCCCATTACGCATCCGAACACAGTCTCACGATAGCATAGCTTACCGCTCTCACCCAACCCACACCCGAAGACCTGCGCAAAGAGATCAGGCGATGCAGAACGATGACCAACAAGCCTTTTGGCGTCAATCTGACCCTCCTTCCTGCCATGGTTCCTCCGGACTATGCCGCATACGCTCGCGTTATCATCGAGGAGAAGATCAACATTGTTGAGACGGCGGGAAACAGCCCTGGACCAGTCATCAAGCAGCTCAAGGCTGCTGGCACTATCATCCTGCACAAGTGCACCACCATCAGACACGCACAGTCTGCGGTCAAGCTTGGCGTTGACTTCCTGTCCATTGACGGCTTCGAATGCGCTGGGCATGTTGGAGAGACAGACATTACCAACTTCATCCTGCTCAGCAGAGCCAGGCAATCGCTGGGTGGTATTCCGTTCATCGCGTCGGGAGGTTTCGCAGACGGTCAGGGATTGGCCGCCGCGCTGGCTCTCGGTGCCTGTGGTATTAACATGGGTACGCGCTTCATGTGCACTGTCGAAGCGCCCATCCACCACAACATCAAGCAGGCCATCGTCGACGCACAAGAAACTGACACCGCTCTTGTCCTTCGGCGTTGGAAGAACACATCGCGACTTTTCGCAAACAAGGTCGCGCTCCAAGCCGTGGATGTCGAGAAGACTAGCACAACCGGCAAGTTCGAAGAGGTCGCTGAGTTTGTAAGCGGAAAGCGAGGACGTCAAGTATTCCTGAACGGAGACAAGGACTTTGGTGTAAGTGCTACAATTCTCCTCTAAAGTTCGGCTAACTGATAAACCTAGGTATGGACCGCTGGCCAAGTAATCGGCCTTATCCATGACATCCCCACCAACGAAGAGCTCCTCAACCGTATCGAACGAGAAGCTGTCGAGACAATGAAGCAGAACCAAACGCTCTTCATTGAGGATGGAGAGAAGCCTGTCGCTGAAGGCGCTTCGATAAACAAGAAGTCGAACAACCCTCAGGCTGAGGTATGGGGCATCGGCAAGAGCAAGCTATAGAAATGTTAGACTGTATAGAATATTTAATCTAAGGAAGCATCCTCCGCATGGAACATAATTATGTGCCCAGCAGTCTCAAAGTGCATATCTACGCATACCCAAGCCCTGCAGTAGCACGGTTATCGAGCAATGGCATGGTCCACGGAAGAAAGCAGTTTCGCTAGATTGCTGACCTCACGCGTAGTTTTCGTGTTGAAACTAGAGACCCTGTCGCCACTATGGACAGCAACATCCCCATCTTGAGTCACGATGACGTCGAATACACCCCATGATCACCAGGGCCCTATCCTACGAAATTACTTTTCGACTAACTACCACAGTCAGTGGAATATCCAACGCTTCGACCCTGGATTAGATTCACGAACCCGTTCATCACACAGCTATATTGTATAACAAATTTCTTTTTACGAACCTCATTTAGAAGACCACCATCATGTCCTCCTTGACAGGCCAAGAATCTTCCAACACTCAACCTAGAAACCCAGTCAACTCTGGTGAAGACACTGCCGGAACTTTCAAAGGTGATTCAAGCGTTCCATTCAAGACGGGTGGGTCAACAGACCCTGCTGGCTTGAGCGTTTCAGCGGATAAGGTAAGCTTTCCACCCATTATGCCACCTCTTATCGCGTATGTCCTGCATGAAGAACAATATTCTGTCAACAGGATACTTACAAATGTAGTCGGCACCTGGCCAGCAGAACGCCTCAGGTACTTCGGAGCAACGCCGCGGAGAAGACGTGACGCAGAACACTAAGCAAGAGTACGAGGGGAGCAGCAGTGTGGGACAAAAGACAGGAAGCGAAAGTTTGATCGATAGTATAGAGAAGAGCGTACACGAGGGTGGTGAGGCAGATCGAAGTGGAGTAGATGTCGGGCAAGTCAGTACTGGACGATAGGTGGTCAAATACAGGCATCTGGTTGGCTTGCATGTTTCGTTAGACTTAAGGTACAGGCTCTTACTTAGAGATTAGGTATGCCTTGTGCACCTACAATAGCCTCAAAGATTGGCCTGAAGAGGCTGCATCTGTAATCGAGACCAGACTGTGGCAACACAGTAACACCACTTCCTCTTACATTCCCAACGTCGCCAAGGACACCCAAACTCCAATCCCCTTCTATTATAGTAGCATTCTGGTCTTGATATAGTCCACCCATGACGAGATCATAAGCGCCGACCAAAACATTGCCCTCCGCTCCAGTACCGATCGCATTCCATCCTGGCCCAGCGTAAGGATTCTTCGCGAATCTGGCCCAGGTGCTCTGCATGAACTGTGCGAGAGCGTACTCTTGCGTCGTTGTATTCGCGCGTTCGTATGTACGGAACACAAGAGGAATCTCAGAGGCGTGGTATGCGCCGAGCTGTGGGTAGGCTTGCGTATTGACAAAAGAAGCGTTGTAGTAATAGCGCCAGGTAGGAATGCCAACGGAGGCGGTTGCATTAGCCCATAGTGCTTGTGGACACTGGAATGTGATCTCAGTAGAGATCTGTGAGATCACATCATAGTCGTTGGTAAGGCCATTACTTCCAATTGGGTATGCAGCTTCAATCTTAGGAATGAGTGCTGGGGCGAGGATTCCAAAGGTCGCCTGGAGGTAGGCAGTAAGATTTGTTTGTCCAACCTGGAAGACACGTCCTTCCTGTGCATTCGTGCCTCCCAATACTGGTATGTGTGCAATATCTCCACTCAGGCGACGTGCCGCTGGATTTGATACCAACGTGGTGTTATCAGCCACTGGATTAAACACGAGAGAGTTCTGATTGATGATGTTGCGAACAGTCGTTGCATTCGCGGCCCGTACACAAGTTAAGTTGCTTTCATGTGTACCCGGGCACCCGAGTGTCGCAGTCAGATTATTCCAAACAGGTACGCTTGAGGTTTGAGGAGCTACGCGATAGCTATATTGCCCACTCTGAAGAATGGCAGCCCGGAACGGCGGCGAACTATCCTTCGGAAAGCTGGTGAGTAAAGCATCAATCGAGAAAGCACCCGCACTCTCTCCAAAAATGGTCACTTTGGAAGCATCGCCACCGAAAGCGTGGATGTTGCGCTGAACCCAGTCGAGAGCAAAACGTTGGTCCAGAAAGCCGAGATTGCGTGCCGCTAGTGGCAGTTCTGGTGAAGCAGGAAAGCCGAACACTGTATGTTGTTAGAAAGGGGAGAAGGCGTTTTCAAAGCTTTGGTAGCATCTCACCATTCGTTCTGTAGTTAGTTGTCACTACGATGACATCTTCATAGGCAGCAAAACTGCTTCCATCGTACGTGTCTTGACCAGCATTACCAAATTGGAGTGAGCCACCATAGATCCAAAACATTACAGCTCGCCCAGCACCACCTGGCGGAGTCGCTGGGGCATAGACATTGAGGTATAGGCAATCCTCCGATTCCTCAGGTGGTGGGTTGTTGAAGACAGCTTGTGTGAACTGTGAGCTCGACAAAGGATCTAACGACATTAGCGTATCTCAGTAAGTTGAATCAATTTCCCATACATCGAAACTGTTGGATACATGCTGGCCTGAATTCTGTGGCGTTGACCGGTTCTTGGAAAGGTACGGCAGCTTGTGGTGGAGAGAACCTTTCAGGTGGTGATGCAAATGGGACACCAAGATATTGATGTACTGGCCCAAGTGCGTAGGGCAGTGAAGTAGATTTTCCTATGATCACTCCGGCATCAATAGTCGCTGTTGGTACCTCACTGTCAGAGGTATAGTCTGCCCAAGTTGCAGTTGGACTAAGAGAAATAAGCACGAGGCCAACGAGGCTGGACGCAGAAGACAAAAACATGCTGATGTTATGAAGTCCTTACTACTACCACAAATCAGCCTCCCATGCTCTTTATACTTGACTTGATGGCTAGCAGGCGCGAACCCGAGGTCAAAATGGTAGTCACTTTCGTTGCAAGCCATGTCGAGCTTGGCGTGCATTACGCTGCAGCATCCATGAGGATTTTGTCCAAACAAAGATGCTTTTTACTACGCGGGGCCGAGGCATACAGCCCAGCTCCGCAGCTAGGAAACGTAAGGGCGTCATAGCCATCCCGTGTATGCATTTAGATTGAGGGTGGTGCGCAGCTCGCGTCGTTGAAATTGGTGTCGCCATGCATTGCTTGCTAGAGACATAGAAACTTCCATTTGATCATAGCAGCAAGTAAGTTGTAAATATCTAGATGTGAAGAATGCACGAAGAGGCAAGTTTCGAAGAGAAAAGAGGTGTGAAGCTTTCCCACTAAGGGTGACGCGGGATTTTGCGGGGTGCGTCTCGCTTCGCTCCCCTGCCACCAGCAAGCCTCGCCATAGTCCATTAGGCGGAACAACAAAGCGTCCTTCATTTGTCCCTCTTCATCAACATCGGCAGCCACCCGAAACTGGCCGTCAAGTGAAAATAACAAAAGCACAGTACCGCACCATCTAAACCCCAACCTAGGCAGCTCAGTAGAAGGGGATCGAAGGCGCATTATCCTCACCGGACTCCAATTCTACACGATCCAAAATAGTAAGCTTGGCCATCTAAACAAATCATCCTTTTTTGGAGCATAGAAGATCGTCACCTTTTTGATTATTCTCTCTCTCAATGCTTTGCTGTGTTGAATGAGCATCCATGCGACGCCACTCCCATGTGGAGTTCCGAGGATAGCCTTTCCCTCTTCACTTTGTATATCGAATGTAATACCAGGCCAAAGTTCGTACATGCTACGACCATGCATCTTGATAATCTTATTCAGCACTAAGAAGGTCCCGGAGTTCTGAATCTGAATGCGGAAGATATAGTTAAGTGAGATGGGCTGGATAAGTGGAGAGTGAAAAGAGGAGAGGTATTGCAGGAAAGCTACGTCTGACCAGTGGCGCAGTAATGGTAGATCAATATCTCCCTTGTCTTTAGCATCGTCAAAAGCTGCTGCATGGGAAGGTGAAAGATTGGTGTCTGCAATTAGAACGCCAGCGCTCGGGTTGCTGACTTGAGAGAAGTATCCACGTATTGTCTAAGGCTTGTTAGCACATGTTCAACCTTACGATAAGCTGTGGCGTACCTTGTACTCATCTGCTTCTGCTGTATAAACTCCATGTTGATGATGTGTCCTGACGTTCTTTCCTCCATCATATATCATCTTGTGGTCGATGTTCAGGTCGCCAAGCGCTTTGGCGATGCATTCGATTTCGAAGCTAGTTTGGTTGGTCTCCAGGTGATAGCCATGCTGAGCTAATTCTTTCGAGTGCTTGAATGCGCTTTCAATGGATGTTTTGGTCTTCTTGGTCGACATTTGTAACAGCTTAGTGCCCTTTTCGACAGCTGCCTCGTAGTCTTGATCCCTTGCCATTCTAGGGCAGAAATAGAGAGTGTGTGGCCCCAGAGGGTAACGGAGAGAGGATTATTTGGAAAAGTGAAAGAGGAAGGCTTTTTGTGAAAGCACTTCCTCGTAAGAAAGCGAGAGCTACAGGTGAAGGCTTCACTGTGCTTCATCTGTGGATCGAGTGTCGACACAATACTGTTCGCGCGGCCAAGTCTTGCTTCACCACTCGTAACATTGACAGCTGTATCTACTGATACGTCGGGACCTCAACTCTACGCCTCGCTTACCCAAAATACTGCGAGCTATGATCGAGCCAACAAACCTTACCTCCCGGTGCCACTTCCAACGCGGCACAAGCAGCAATCGTCTTGTAAAAGCCTGCGAAGCTCTTGAGCATCGTAAATATGAAAGGAAAGATAAAGCAGAGGCTTCGTTGGAGGATCTTTTTTGCGAGGCTGGGATCAGGAGGAGGTGTGATGCGAACGGCGATGAGGTCTGGGAAGCAATGCAACGACATGGCGGACGGCAGGTTCTATATCTTGATATTCTGGTAAATGGAGAGTGTAACTGGTTAACATGGGCGGATGGTATTGGAAGCAGTCTGGATGATTATCCGCGGCGTTTCAAGATCGTGTACTGCTGCTCAATGCTCAGCGTATTACTGATGGTATTGATATTCTGGTGTCATGGTGATCGAACGATATGGAGCCCACCATATTCCAGCCGGAACGCCTTTGCTACATGATATCAGGCCAATCGGGCCTAAGTACTCCAGCTTCTTCTAAGCGAATTGAAGACTTTTCCAGTTCCTGCACGAAGTTTCAGGATCATGCCGAACACCTAGCGGTCTCGTATCCAGTCCTTCAAACTGGCAATACTTGATCGTCTCCTTCTTCTTGATCCGCTGCCCTCCATGCCGATATCCATACTCCTCCTTCCGCCATCTATACTCCTGCGTCCTTTGCTCTCTGTATCTAGCACAACCACGACAACGGTACAGTTGTCTGCACCCTTCATGTTGCTCTCCCTTGAAGTCAGCTCGTCGGCAATCTGCTTGGCCTCCTTCCCAGACTGCCATCCGTCGACTGCTAGCCGTGTGCATTCCTCTGCCTCTTTCGCTGAACCAACGCCGTCTGAAGCGAGCAGTATAAGAGACTGACCATGGAGAGTGCGAACGGTGAAATGCGCTTTGTTTGATACCAGGTCGTGTATTGCAGTCCTTCCTGGAGCAAGACCTGTTTCTACGCCAGCCAGATCTGAAAGGTCGTGACCTGCTAGGCGGTTGACGCGAGGTTTCTTGTAATCCAAATCGCCTAGAGCGCGCGACATGCTCACGCCGCCGATGCGTGCGATACCGGATCGGTAGTTGATCTCGCCACCTGCATCTTCTACCCTTCTCTTCTCTAATGGGCTGTCTGGCGCATGCTCCACGCTTAGAGCCTCCACGTTCCACCCCAAAGAACTTGTGCCGGAGTCAACCCGTGAGGGGGATTGCGGCGATAAGGACTGAGGAGACTGTGGTTCATGGTCTGCGAAGAAGACATGGCTGTCGCCTAGATTGGCTTGTATGAGCAAGTTTTGCTTCGTGTCGACGAGAACAAGAGAGACGGTTGAGCCTCCGTCGAGGTTGTCGCGGTCGAGTTCGTGATCTACAGCTTTGAGGGCTAGCTGAATGGCATGTTTGTACTCGGCCGTATTTGATGCCTTGGGGTTACTAAGGTGGTGTTCGAGATGTGTATGGAGATGCTCCGCAACGTGGTTAACAGTCGCCGTTCCCCCACTGTGATCCCAAAGTTAGTCTGAAGTCATAACCTCATGATAAACGGCAGCACTTACTGGCCATCATACACAGCAAAGAGAGCGAGATCTTTCCTTGACTTAATTGAACCTGGTGTGAGGGTAATGTAACGATCTTCTTGGTCCTGTCGCGCCCCCAGAATCTGTGGGGAAGATGTTAGCGGAGAGTCTCGGTCGCTGCTCGGAACAAGCGGCATCTAGAAGGCGGGAGTATGCAAGAGACACACTACGCACCCTGCTGACACCGACGTCGATAATGTTAACGCTCATTGTTAGTTATTTTTCTTGAATGAATGGGTTTCCGCGTGGGATGTGGTAATGGTAGTTGAGCGCCTCGTGTTTGTTTTTACATCAATTGTACCTCGTCATAGGCCAAGCAATGCCCAGCAGCACCTAAGGTGGCCATAAGCGGCGGCACACGCGACCATCACAGCCACTACGTCATCTGCCCTCTCGACGTGCATAAACTGAAACCAATCAAGGGACTGCCCGCGCCACAATTTATTGGTTCATGCACTCAGCCTCGATTGCCTAGATCATTGTGATGCGCAAACGTGCAACTGTTGAGCAGTCTAGAGCGTGGGGAGCGTGGAGAATAGAAGGGTCATAGTGGGGCACGTGACGTCGTGTCCTGCATGTAGAACGCGTTCGGCCCAGAAGTTTTATATGAACAAGCAATTGTGTACCTGTAGACTGGTTTGTTGTTGCATCTTCACGAAACCTCCGTTTTCAACGAAGCTACGCTTGACAACCCCGGATCTATGCGCGATATTCGAGCAGGCGGGGAAGTCCGCCCTCGTGATGCGTTGTTTTTGACATTTGGTACGTCGATCTATCAATGCTTGGCAGTCGAGCGGGCTTCCTCGTGAAGCCTGATAGATGCTTGAAAAGGCTGAGATGTGTTGATAGAAAATGCCTCATGAACTTGCACTGCCTCAAAAGCTAAAAGCTAGCAAATACGGGCAGCTAGTTCGGCCCTTTCATGACACCCACGAGATCCTCATATTTTCGTCCGAGTCCATACTGGTGTCTTCCGCTGAAAATCAGTGTAAGCAGGAGCGAAGGAACGAAGAACGCTCGGCGACGTGCAGACGCGCTATCATGGTTCTCCTCAGCCTTCCCGGATGACACCGCTGTCCATCCACTCCGCTCTCAGCTTGGCCCAGATGCCGTCTCCTCTGAAACCCCAAGCCCATCTCTCATTCTTCAGGCCCGCCAGCTTGTCTTCTAAGATACGCTTGTCCTTACTTTGGTCCTCTGTCCATTCGATCTTGGATAACAGCTGTATGCAGGAGATCTCTTCGCTCATACAAGCGGCGACAGCGCTGAGACGCTCTTCGGGATCCATATCATACCCGTACATTAGTTCTTGTCCTGTTTCCATGGCTCGTCGGTTGGTCTTCAGATGATCCAACAATCCCTCAGGCACAGGAGGCGATTTCACGCCTTCGATTTTGATACGGCAATGCGGACACGTGCGATAGGGGTATTTCGCCTCTTCAATCTTTGGTGTTCTCATCCACTGCTCGAGACAAGCTTTGCCAACAATATGGCCACAGTGCTTGATTCGTACAGGATAGTCGGCTAACAGCTCTTCGATTGGGCGATCTGCAAGAGAAGTGTATGAGGTTTGGCAGATTGGACAGCAGCCAGCGTTATCGTCGATAATGGATGCGTTATCAGTCGTTTGGGTAAGTAGAGAAAGTGGAATGGCGCATGCAAAATGGTCGACTTCCATGAACTGAGTCCTCTCAAAGATACCATCGCGCGTCTTAAACAGTTCAGCATCCATGTCAGATGCATGCTGAAGACGCTCGGTCAGTTTCGCGCCTGCTCCAATGACATCTCCTTGACGTTCACCATAGTTGAGGTGGAACACGACCATGAATGCTGCACGCAATCGCTCCAATGGTGACGTAAGATCACGGTCTGTGAGTGCCATGTAGAGGCGTTCCAGATCAGACCACTCCTCTTGCCGGCCTTTCAACTGCTTTTCTATAGCGCGTCTGAACATCCCTAGCTCGTGCTGACGGCTCATGAACCTGTTCTGATATTCCAGCATACCCAATAGCCATATTCGTGCAGCTTCTGCTTCTTTATCAGTCTCCACATCACTCATGCTTTCGAGGCGAGAGGTATGAAGCGGAATCGGAAAATGTTGTTGTTCAAGCTTGCGAAGTTCTACAGGCCCTTGAGGAAATGCGCTCTCTGAGCTCTTTTGACCCTGCCTGAACTTGCGCAAGTCTCGCAGGCTACGAATCCGTGAACAAACGTCTCGATATACTGCGATCGTTAGCGAAACGCTGAGAAGTTAGAAACTTCGGGTGCACTAGGTAATGCGTCTTTTGGGACAAGGGCATATCGGGTTGTGCCCTTATGCTCGAAATGGTGCTTTCAAGGCATGCACTTGTAAGATTGTGCAACTGCAGTAACAGGAAGTACAGCGAATGACCTCAGGGCGCTTTCGACAGCGCGGTTCCAGAGGAGAACAAATTGGAGAAAATGAGCTCCTTCTTACAACGTACCTGCTGCACTTGCCGGCGCATGGCTTATCAGTGGCACCGAATCATCTGCTTTAGACGCCATGATTGCGTACTCGCAAGATTGGTTTGCGACGTGACGCTATCAGTTATTTCGAGAGTGGAATGGAGTTGAGAAGTTCAGAATTGAAGGTGGACCAGTTTCACGGCGTTTGCTACACTGCAAGTGTAGAAGCGATCTCGGGAGTGAGTGGGGCAGCCCGTTTGCACCCCGCACGTGATCGGTTCCTGTTGTCTCCCAAATTATCGGATCGATATCTGGTTTACGATTACAGGTAACTAACCAATAGAGAAGAATTCATGAGCTCATACAAGAAGAGAAACTTTACAAGCTTAGTTTGAGGCTAGTAATGAGTCTTTGGTCTCTAATCCATACCATAGCTGCATCGCTAGTTCGTCCTCGATTGAAGCCGCTGACAATTCGACATAACGTCTCCATAACACGTGCTTTTCAAGACATTTTATCTTTGTTTCCTGGTTACGTGCGTTGCCAATATACTCAGGACAGCCTCCAGCTTTCGGGGTCCACCCGGTCTGACAACACCCAGATATGGGCACGTATGACTAGCCTTTTGATCAGCGTGACCAGGTTTTTAAGTCATCTGTAGCAACAGGCGTGATGATAAGTAACAGTCAGTACATCATGCCAACTGGAGTCATATCTGCAGATTCTGCACTCCACCTAGGCATCCTGGTTTGAATGTTGATGACACGGATTATCGGGCTGACCCATTACAGTTCCAAGACCTCCAAGAATGGCTCTTGAAATTCATAAAGCTGTTCATCATAGCGCATTTTGATACAATGAAGTTTTTTAGGGTTATGGAGATACACCGAAACACCAGTTACCTCGCCGGTCATGCGCAGGTCATTTATGTAGTTCTTTGATGACTCATTTTGTGGGCGAGCATTGCCTAGTATCAAAGTTTGGTCGCTGGATGAACGCGCAAATGTTGAACAGACTAAGAGAACTCCTCATACCTGGTTAGTCGAGCTTTGTGCGTTCATATTCAGGTCACCACTCTGGTATGAGAAATGCCACAACTAGATGCAGGACAGTGCACATCACTGCAAATATTTAGGGAGCTATGAGTGAAAGGCGGACTATTATTGCCCTTAAGCGGTATAGTTAGCAAGTTCCAAAGTACGGAGTTTAGTAAGTGACTAAAATCTTTAAGAGATTGTCGCACAACAGGTTTGGTTTTCCAGGTATCAAGTCGACGTTACTTAATCTAAGATTTTGTGAGAGTAAAGCATGAGCTGTACGGTTCTCCACACGACAACAACAGCGTTTTGTAAGAGTTGAAGGTGTGGGAGGGATGAATCGAGAAATCAGTCGTCAAACATTAATCATCTTATGTGCATCTCCCAAGCTTTACTTTTCAATGGGTTCAGTAGCACTTCGATCTCACAAATAGATATGGTACGAAGTTTGGGTGTCTAGCTAGCGGAGCTATGAAAGGAATATGATATCGTGTTATAGGGCAGCTACGTCAAAAAATGGAAACGATCCGCTGCTGAGTGTAAGATGCGTTGCCTTTACTAATCAAGAGAGTTCAAGTTTGCGTTCGGCCATTGATATGTATAGAGTTGAAAGGAATCCGAACATGAAGAATGCACGATTGACGAGACCGAGATGATCCAGACTGAGCGTCGCCAGAAACACATCATCACTGTTGCGTCGGTCTTCCTCCGTCTTGAAGTTGGTCTCCGTTTCTTGGTCGACGAATAGCGAAACCTCCTTCTTCCCTTTTGGCAAACTTAGTTTTGTATAACCAGTATTTTCTGTAAATGTATTAGCATAATCACAAAATGTTTTGTCATCGCTGTACCTTTATCCACTTCTCCTTTCCTGCGTATATCGACATCGCCACTGTCCGCGTCATATACAATTACACGATCCCAACTTCTAGTCTTCTGGAGCTTCCTTGGGTGTTGATGCTTCCCCGGGCTTGTTATGCGAGCTAGAGTCGCTTGGGGTTTCATTTGTGCTTCCATGGGAGATGTGATGGTCGAGAGTAAATTGTAACGGTATAGGAGTACAACGCAATAGAGGTTTCAAATCTCTAAGAGTCGCAGAGTTGCGACAGACTTGAGTATGTTATGGTAGTTCCGCGATTGTTAGAAGTCAATGTTGATGTGCTTTGGGTTTGATCTGAGAGCGGTAGGCCACTATTCATAGTTCTTACGGTTTCAACTATCGAAAGAGAATTTGCCTTGTTTCCTAGGATGACAGGCCCCACGTTTTTACTTAGAGGGCGTCAAGGGCGTCAAGTGATCTCTCACATGTTATAGAACGGCGCATGTAGGCATGTTTATTGGGTCCGATGACGTCCGCATTCAGAATGTGGCGGTGGCGCAGCGCGCTGCAGTCCTCCACGGGTCTCCAGCAGAAACGCAGAACACGTATAGTTCTTCAACAAGTCGCCGAGTAGCAGAGACAACCATGCGTGGCTGATAAGGAGATCATAATTATCTGCTGAGATCTCGAGAACCTGACTCACTCATCTCCTCCAGAACAGTGCACGAGGCTGGAGGTTGTAGGAACGACAAGGCTGGATCAGTCCTTTCGTTTCACCGGATTGTAGCCGCTCAATGTAGGGCAATAGCAAGTCTGAGCCTCCAATCTCCAGTAGTGGAGGCACAGCTAGATCAAAAGATGCTTCGGTTGATCCCGGTGACATTGAAGTTACAGCAATTACCGAAGGCTGCATGTCGGTGGAGGATATCTACCTACTATGGCTTGCCGCCCCCACCCATCGCTAATGACTTCGTATTGATTGCTTGATCGGTAATCGTTCGTATGGTTCTCGTCGCTGATGCTCTGATAGTTGTCAGCGGCTCGCTACGCCCAGCGCGTCCGCTTCCAAGGTTCCTACACCCTCTCATCGTCTCACAATACACCCACATACCTAATCATCCGGAGGTCTGCATGAACGCTTGTTCCGTCTCACTTTCATAACCAGTTCTTCCCAATCATCTCACATGGCGTTTCACGGGAGCGGAAGACTCCAGTAAAACCTGCCCATATTTGCGTTTTTGGAGCGAGGGCGTTTTTCGCCGGAATTGACTGAGACTGCGCCTTTGCAGGTCCTTCAGCTCAGCCTGACTTCTCAGGGGACTTCAGTCACTTCAATTGGCTTGACACTCATCGATTGGATTGCCAGTTATCGTCAGCCGCCACATGTAGCTGCCTGCTCATGGGGCAGTTCAATTATGAGGCTCAGCAGCACACTGATCGTAGGTCAAATACACCAGGCTGCACTCACAGGCTATTTTGCAGACAGCTTGATGTGGATATTTATATGGCCGTGCCACATAGATAAGCCAGTAGATCTCTTAATCTACTTAGATCCCAGCCTGACTCCAAGACATTTTGCCTGCCATGGCCTCATCTCAGAATCATTCATCACAAACCGTTGTCTCTGCACACGAAGGAGGCTCCACCACCCAAACTGGGTCATCCATGCATGATGATGGACAGCAGTCCACAAATACTGAGCTTTCACCAGAGTTGGCCTGGAGCCAACAAAATCTGCTTAGTCTCGGTACGTAAATGTGGCCCTAGTTACGTTATCAGGAGACTTAATGCGTTGCAGATGGAGGTGGTATTCGCGGCTACTGGACTCTTCTCGTCCTTCAGCGACTAATGAACGAAATCGCCAAGGAAGAAAAGAGGTTAAGGAATGGTGGAGAAGAGGATCATAGCTTTTCTCCGTTGGAATTTCCGGAGCATGTCACCCAAGGTCCACCCGATGATGAAGAGAAAAGGCGTAAACGCGCCATATCAGGCACTCGCGCATCGACGTGGAAGTATGTCCATGATTCCCGAAAGTTCTTACCATGTCATTACTTTGACTACATATGTGGCTCTAGCACCGGTGCGTAAGTAAAGACCGCACTCTGACAACACAACTACGCTCACAATGTGATAGCCTCATCGCCATCATGCTCGGGCGATTTCGTATGCCAGTTTGGGACTGCTTGCGTGAATATGAAAGCATGAGCCACTCGATTTTCGGCAAACCCCGAATAGTCTCGCAAAGAAACATCGGAATAGTACGGTGGCCACGATATAGTGCTAACGCACTAGAAAGAGCCTTCAAGGAGGTCACTGCAAGGAGGTGCGAGGAGACCTCGCAGAACAATGTCACATTTTCGGCCCCATCCGATATCTGCAAGACGTAAGTAGGGAGGCATCATCTGCGATTGTCACAACCTGAAAGCTCGTTGATGTGCCAACGGCTAACACTGATCAGATTTGTCACTGCTTTTGCGTATGAACGTAAGAAAGGTGCGCCTGTAAAGGAACAGCGGTTGTATCTTCTCCGAACATACAAACATGAGAAGAGACAAGGTATCAACATGAGAGACATGCGACGCAACTATACTGGCATGTTGAACGGCGACAAGAGGAACTACGGATCGGCCGACGACTGGCCTATCTGGCGGATAGCCCGTGCTGCAACGGCAGCACCAATGTACTTCAAAGAGCTACCTGAGAAACGGCACATGCGCGATGGCGAGACGACGATTTACTTCTCTGACGGCGGTTTCGGCGAAACGAACAACCCTACTTTTGAAGGCATCACTGAGATTAAGTCACTCCATGGTGGCAAGGAGAATATAGGTGTCGTCGTCAATGTAGGAACATCTCGAGGGACAATCGAAGCCGGTGGGAGAAGCATCTTCAAAAGGGTACATGGGGCATTCGATCGAGCCACAGATCCAACCATCGTCGCTGGTAAGGTTGAAGGAGAGGATTTACCCCACTACTGGCGTTTCGACGATGAAGCTGGCATTGGTGTCGATCTCGATGAATGGAAACCAAATGGCTATTTCACGAAATATCCTGGGGTCAAAACACTCGCAGATATTAGGGCGAAGTTCAACGAATGGGTTGTAGAACGAGAGAATGGCCTCCAGAAATGCGCTAAGGAACTAGTAGCAAGACGACGAGCAAGAATCTTGAACCTCGGACGATGGGAAGCATATGCTACGAACGCATCCTTTGCTTGCAACCATGGTCGTTGCAGTAGCAAGGCTTTCGACGACCGTGTCCAACTCCAGAACCACCTTAGGAGAGAACATTCTGTTTCCGATATGGATATTGCGAGCATGGTAAATGATGGGACGAAGATGTGGCAGTATCAGGATCAGTAGAGACTGTGATATCTCATCCTGTAACCTGATTACTGTTGAACGAAGAGCTATGTATATGGTTTCATGTCAGAAAGACGCAGACAAATATCCAAGACGCGACGGACTTGACAGCATATGGCTGACAGTATGGGGGTCTTTTCTTACCACCACTTGGTCTTCACTCGGAGTTTTTGGGTTGTTGTCCTCTTTCTGTCCGACGCTACGGAGTCTTCTTCATGTTTAGATTTCTTTCATTGTCTAGAGATAGGTCCCGGCTGCTGTGCAAGGTTGTAGATATACCAGGCTTCATGGCCTTCGATTTCGATACCCACTGAGTTATTTCGGGAGCAATGAAATTATACAGCATATAGACTATTAAATCATTTGAAGACTGACACAGTTGTTGTTGACGTCAAGACTCTACAAATTGGGCTCAAGCATTATCTGTTGTGTGCCTGTGTACGTGGAAAAATTGCGTTACAGACACATAGTGAGCGAGCGTTTGCTAGGATTAATTGGCCATCGTGCAGAGAATGCTGAAGTTATAGAAGAGCATGGTTTCAGGATACACAGCCTTGGAGCCTCGGGGCGAGTTTTCCGGTGCGGCTGAACCACGAGGCAGTTTTCAGGAACGCCACCCTGCAATGTCGTGGAAGCCTGCGAAGCCAAGCATGTGCGAGTACGCTCACTTCAACACCGCACCTCAACCTTAACGTTCCGGCTACCATACATGTCCCAATCCTGTCAAGATAAGTTTTCTGGCCTATCGACATTCATCTTCGTTCCCATGTGGTATACAGTAGCGGTGAAGACGACATCAGCCGCTAATCCCATCCTTCAGCCTGATCATGATCTTGAGCTACGTGGATCAAGCTCTAACACGCGGTAGTCACCTAACATCCGTAGGTTTCCCCTTCAATCTGTCTATGATTGAGTTGCTCGCATATATTTTTGGTCGCGCATGCTAACATTGAGAAGCAGCTGTTTTCTTTCGCAAGAATGGCGGGTGTCCGTTTGGGCACTTTGCCCTACTATCGCCTATACCACTTCAACACGGCAGATCCGATCCAAAAGATCGCCTCAATTGCTTCTGAGCAACCCCGATCATCCAAGTTACTGCATGCGGTGACTTTATGGCGAGAAAGAAAACTTACAGAGCTACACTTCATATCTATAGCTGTAGGTCCCACCAACCCGACATCTTTTTCTTGCTCTGATATCAAGCAAGTGTGCTATACTCGCCGCTGCAGTCATCGGCTCCTTTTCTTGGACCACGATCGACCGGGCTTATTGGCTCACGCCGGGCCTGTGGTATGCTAGCCTTGTACTCTCCGTCCTTGGGATATTGATTTCCGCTCAACAAGTCGCCGTATTGAATTTTCTAGGGCCACCGCCATCACCTGGGAAGGTCAGACAGATGGAAAGGTGTTTCGATCGCTATCTTCCTGTCCTTTTGTCTAAGAATGGTACGCAGTATTATCCGAGACAAAAAATGGTGTTTACCTGGCAATGTCCGCTTATGTTCATGTCCTATTCTGTTTGTTCGTTTCTCGCTGGTATCACCATCTTAGTTTGCACACCTCTAATTCATAGAGAAGGAAGTTGGAATGCCGGATGCAACGTGAGTACCACACCCAATCGTTCACTAGACAAGGCGACTAATTTTCGAGAGATTGCGGTCATGTATCTTTCGATTTGTTCCGTTGCAGGAGCCACGTTTGTCTTTTGTGGATTTTGGATATACCATTATGTCGATCTTGGGTTTGACACGCATCAGGATGGGAGTGATGGAGAAGAATTTGATGAGTCTGGAGAACAGCTGACTCGGCCGAGTAGAGTCACTTCCACAATCGCGGAGATGATACCTCCTTCTTTTGGTTTTAGTGATCCCGGAAGCCATGCAGGGTTGAGTATGAAGCGCGGAACGTACTGATGCACATATGACGAGGGTCTTACTCGGCACTCACAGACGAGAAGAGAAATGAATGCCTCGTGAGTCTTTGCTATCAACAGAATAGGAAAGATATGGGTATGTGCTATTGTAACTCATGAAGACAAGTATCGTACATCCAGATATATAGATGTAAACAACCTCTGGTTCTGCATAGCCTATGAAACAGCTGTAAATGACAATCTGTAATTCCACAAAGCATGTGTCGTAAGCTTCACGGTCATTCTACTCGAGCCGTTCATCAGCGGCGCTGAGTAGCGGTGGCTGATGCAGCAATGGGTCCTCTGCGCTTTTCTTGATGCTCTGGCACAGCATCTCGCAAATGCTACTGCTTTTGGCCCACTTTTGCAATGCATCCAAGCTACTAGCAGGACGGTTTAAATTTTTCAAGGGGAAGGTTCGAGATTGTAAGACTTCTGTAGATATCTCCAAGCGATGTATTGACATTGACAGTATGCAAATGGCCTCATAATGTAACATGGTAAGCTCCTGAAAGCGGCTGACAGTGCGCGGCATGCCCAGGTGCTGTCCGCCGACGCGCATGGCGTGGTTCCGTCGCAAACTAATCTCCTCAAAACAAAATAGTGATACGTAGACACATAGCCAGATGTGATGAAATAAATGTACGAGTCTGATGAGTGTCATACGAGCCGATGGAGGGAGAGTGGAAAGGCTTAGTGGGCGGAGGGGTCTTGGCGGGCGGGAAGAGCCGCAATCACTCTGGCATCACCGAGACGCGACAAGGACATAGCACGTATACCCCTCGATCGCCCTTTCCTTGCGCACCATGATCCGGTAGCTGATTATTCCTTTCCTTCTCTCTACAGCACTCACAATCCCCCAAAATGGCGTCGGCGGTATTCTTTCTCGACTTGAAGGGCAAGGTATGGCGGTCAAGTCGCTGCAGAGGCTACATACTGACTATTGCTTAGACCCTTCTGGCGCGCAACTACCGGGGAGACATCCCAATGTCAGCCGTCGAGAAATTTCCCATTCTGCTGAGCGAGGCCGAAGACGAGAGCTCGGCAGTCCCACCATGCTTCTCCAGCGAAGGCATCAACTACCTCTACATCCGCCACAACAACCTCTACCTCCTCGCCCTCACCAAACGAAACACCAATGCTGCCGAGATTCTCCTGTTCCTCCACAAGATCGTCGAGGTCTTTACCGAGTACTTCAAGGAGCTCGAGGAAGAGAGTATAAGAGACAACTTTGTCGTCATCTACGAGTTGCTCGATGAGATGATGGACTTTGGCTACCCACAAACCACTGAGACTAAGATTCTACAAGAGTATGCTCTATTCCTCAACATTTATGCGAATTTAAACCAACACCATTTGTGCGCAGGTACATTACACAAGAGTCGCACAAGCTCGAGATCGCACGGCCACCTATCGCAGTCACAAATGCCGTCAGCTGGCGAAGCGAAGGTATTCGATACCGCAAGAACGAAGTCTTCCTCGATGTCATCGAATCACTCAACCTTCTCGTCTCCGCGACCGGCAGCGTGCTACGATCCGAGATTCTGGGTGCTGTCAAGATGAAGTGCTACTTATCTGGTATGCCTGAGCTGCGACTAGGTCTGAACGACAAAGCCATGTTTGAGACCACCGGTAGGGCTACACGAGGAAAGGCCGTTGAGATGGAGGATGTCAAGTTCCACCAATGTGTGCGATTATCGAGATTCGAGAACGACCGGACAATCAGCTTCATCCCGCCAGATGGCGAGTTCGAGCTTATGAGCTACCGACTGAACACACAAGTCAAGCCCCTCATCTGGGTAGAGTGTATAGTGGAGAGTCATTCAGGCAGCAGGATTGAGTACATGTTGAAGGTAGGCGAACAGCTGGAATTCTGCATTTAGTAGGCTGACATGTTGTAGGCACGAGCACAGTTTAAGCGACGAAGCACCGCGAACAACGTGCAGATCTCGATACCTGTCCCCGAGGACGCAGACACACCTCGCTTCCGAACAAACATCGGTACCGTCCACTATGCGCCTGAGACCTCATCCATAGTATGGAAGATCAAACAGTTTGGTGGCGGCAAGGAATTCCTCATGCGCGCCGAGCTTGGTCTGCCATCAGTACGTGGTGACGACGAGAAGGGCGGTGGTATGATGGGAGGCTTCGGAGGCAGCATGGGCGGTGTTGGCGGCGGAAAGGCGAAGAGGCCCATCAACGTCAAGTTCGAGATTCCGTACTTTACCACTTCAGGTATCCAAGTGCGGTATCTTAAGATTATCGAGCCTAAGGTGAGTGTAAGCCATTTTGCAACCAAAAGCACGATCACTGACATGCATTCAGCTGCAATACCCATCGCTGCCATGGGTACGATACATCACACAATCGGGCGACATCGCTGTGCGATTACCCGACGTGAACTAAGTGGACGTGCAAAGCCCAGTCCGAAGAATATACCAATACGACATGTTCTCCGTGCCCTGACTTGTAAAATGTGTGCTCTTGAGAGATGTGTGAACCATAACAACGGATCAGGACTACTGAGATGTGAAGTAGCAGGTTACTGGAAATTTCCGTAAGGCCAAGTATGCAGAAGCCTTGCGCTCATACGGCACGCGAGCAACACTCGTTACATGCAGCAAAGTCTACTTTGCTCGGGTAGAAAGTAGCCGTGCACGTGCAGTTCAGTACGTCATCGCGCTCATGTTCATCGAATACCGACATGTCTTCCAATATCTACTTTGTATCAGCGCAGTAGATTGTACTGAAATGAAGGAATTGGGTGGATTATCGTTATGTGATGCCCGGCATGTAACATGCAAGTTTGCACTTGGCGGATCCTGAGTCAGCGCGACTACGACGTACTCACTTCTAGAATCAACAGGACGCGTATACCATCGCACACGACTTGTACTTATGTGTAATCGAGTAGTGATGGTGTTGTCAGAGTAAGCATCTCATCGGTGCTCGCGTCTCCGTTTCTGCCGACGATCGACGGCCGGGCTTCCAACAACATACGTCTGAGTATGGTCTTCACTCAACCTCAATTTCTAATCGTACACTACATTGTCAGATACGTAACTCATAAGAACCAGTAACACCAACCA